TGCAGATTCCTACCATTCCTATCACCTCTGATACAGAACATTAAAAAATTATTTTTAGCCTTTCCAGTGACCCTTTTTTTGCAGCAATTGAAATTGGGACTACAGAGCTTTGCAGAAACTTTTCAAAGCAAATGCAGACATCACTTTTCCTTCTGACAGATAGAGGTAAAGAGCCCMAAGTAGCTGTGGGGCTTTGCAGAGAAACACAACGTTGCTCTTCACAGCAATAATCCAAAGATGGAAATTCCCTCAGGAGCTCCAACTTCCCATCCCAGCAATTCCTGCAGCAGAGCTGTGTGCCAAAGCTTTAGGAGTGGTGTTTGTGCTCCTGGAGAGGTGCTGGAGGACACACAGAGCCCTCACTCTGCTCGTTCTTGGCCAGTTCCTGGTGTCTGATGGGGCTCCTCAGCCACAGGAATCCCTCTGTGCAGTTTTMTTTCCCTTGGTCATTCCAGGAAAGCAAACTCTGCCCGATTTCGCACAATTTTGACACAGCTTTGGTGCCTCTGGGTGGTGGAGTTTGCCACCAGTTACTTCGGTGTGGGATGGATTGTATGAGATTTGAATCAGCCTAAAATTTGCTGGTGGGAATTTTGGAATGGGAGCCAGCATTCCCAAAAAAAACCACCTCTAAACAGAGGGGCTGTGCATCACACGGAGAGGCAGGGAAACCTCCAGCCTGGGAAAATGAGGCTGCAGCCTCATTGGCTTTCAGCAAGAGCCGTGGGGAAGAAAAGCTGAAAATAGCAACTTGCTGAATTTCTTCAGGCTCTCTGAGGAGGAAAATGGGCAGTTGGACTCCACGGCTCTTTTATGATTCTGCTTCCTGTGGGACATTTGGTTGATAACATCAGCAGCCGTGTCTCTATCCCATCGGGGAGAAATCTGGGAGGGTTTTCACATCCAGCGTGAAGACTTTGATAGCGCTGCCCTGGGTAGAGCTGATCAAAATCAAAATGTGGATGCCTGAGAGAGAAGTTTCAGTGCTGATGCAATTTGTCAGCATCTCATCCTTGTTCCCACACAGAGCTGAATCATCAGAGAACGGGGATTCATCGCTCTGGATCATCATGTGATAGCAGAACCCACCACCACTGCCTGCGAGCAAACAGTGAGAGCCCAGCTGGAGAGGAAACTGGGGCGTGGAAAAGATTTTATTTGATAGGATTATATGGGAAATTATCTGACAGAGYCATGGAATGGACTGGGTTGGAAGGGACTTTAAAGATGTTCCAGTTCCAGCTCYTGCCATGGACAGGGACASCTTCCACTGTCCCAGGGTGCTCCAAGCYCCATCCARCTCAGCCTTRGACACTTCCAGGGATCCAGGGGCAGCCACAGCTTCTCTGTGCAGCGTCTTCCCTGCCCTCACAGGGAAGGATTCCTTCCCAATATCCCACCTACCCTGKCCTCTGTCGCTGTGAAGCCATTCCCCCTTTGTCCTGTCACTCTGTTCCTTTTAAACAGTCCCTCTCCACTTTTCCTGCAGCTCCTTCAGGCACTGTAAGGCCACAAAGAGCTCACCCCAAAGCTGCTCCTCTCCAGCTGAACAATCCCAGCTCTCCCAGCAGAGCTGTTCCATCCCTCTGGTCCCCTGGTGCCTCCTCCAGAGTCTCTCCAGCACAGTGCACATGGAGATCTCCTCAGGGATTTTTATGCTGCATTCCTCGGCCACAAACCTCTGGTGCTCCCAGACCAGTAGAATTTGTACCAAAAGCAAATCCTTCAGCTGTTGGCACTGTAGGGTTTGTGAGCCCCAAATAATCATAACCACACAGGGCAGGGACACCTCAATGGAGCAGCCAATCCATGACTCCCTTTAATTGATGAAAAGTCATTTCTGATTTTCCATGTTTTACATCCTATGCATTGCAGGCAGTTAGCAGGTAATAAAGGATRAGAATTAATTAATCCTGGCCATACCCCCAAGAGATGTGCAGACAAACACTGATCTGCTGACAGAAACAGAGCAACCAAGGTTACATGATGGTCCAAGGCCAGAGTGGGTGTTCAGAGCAGAGCTGAGATTGAAGCCCACAAACTCTGATTGCAAAGCTCAGGGAAACTGATTTTGAAGAGGAAYAACCTTCAAAATAAATGATCCATTTAGAAAAAGTCTCTTTTTATTTCCTCAGTACTTTGTGTAAGCACATCCCGATCTGTGGGTCAGGCTGCAAATATTCCCTTTGGCCGCTCTCGGGTGCCCATCTGCACCCAAACACCAATATAAGTGGGAACAGCGAGGTACCCAGTGAAAGAATTCAGTCCCAAACAGGCAGAATAACAAGCTCTGCTGTGTTTTTCCAAGGCTCCACGAGCAGACTGCTGGCTGGTGGGGACAGACTTTCCCAGGCCAGCCCTGCAGTACTGCTGCCACCCTGTTTTGGGACAGAATCACATCGTGTTCCCACCCCTTGGCCTCAGTGAGGGGCAGCTTTGGGATCTCACTGGGCACATAACCCACAAGGAGAAGCCCTCCCAGTGTTCATCCCAAATGCCTCCCCACAATCCATGATTTCCCTTCGGGGTTACCATAGTCTGATGATAAAATACCCCCATCAACACCTACTTCCAGGAAAATTTGCAACCGCTTTTCATATTTCTACAGTTTTGGACAAATAATATTCAATCCCTCCCCCTAGCCTGACATTGGAATGGGATGTCCAGGGAGGTTTGGAGTGCCTGTCCCTGGAGGTGCCTGAGGAATTCCTGGAGGTGGCACTGAGTGCTCTGGGCTGGGACAGGGTGGGGATGGGCACAGGTTGCACTCGGTGGTTTTGGAGCTCTTTTCCAACCCAATTGATTTTGTGATTCTACAATATTTTCGATTGCACAGTGTATATATAGGCAAACCCACATGTGGCTCTCAGATAAAATCTGAAAAGAAAGCAGAGCTCTGGGTGGTTCCTTGATCCGGTTTAAATGTCTGCACAGACAAGGAATCTTTGCTTTTGTTGTAATTAGTGGGCATGTGCTCAGACTCTAATCATTGTTCTTTAGGCTTTCCTAGCAGGCCTGACCTTCCCATTTGGACCCAATAAAGCAGATGAGCTCTGTGCCTTTTTGTTCTCAGATGACAAAGTGCTCGGCATTTRGCACTCAGCTTATCTCATACGTTTGGGATTTTAATTATCAACACCAGAGCCCTCCCAAAGGCTGGCTGCGCTTTTGGTACAAAGATTATGTAGGGAAATTAATGGTGGAAAAGCTCCTTTGTCCATCAGTTCTTTTCACAGTGGTGGCTAGAAACTCTACAAACAGCKATGCTATTTTAATTCCAAAAAACACATTTGCAATGTCATCTTTATGGAGGAAAAATATGCTCAGCTTGAGTTTTGTTTGGTGCTGCTCTGCGTACGAGAACATGGAGCTGCTGTGTATAGTGGAGCGTGTGGGGAACCCRGAGCACAGTCTGTTACCAGGCTTTATTTTTTGCACTGTCTGCTCCCATTTTTCAGTGTTCTGACTTATTGCTGATTATTCCGRGGAGCTCCAGTGCATCTGATAGTGCAGGAGCTGTAACTCCCCGAGCCCAGGGCAGGATTGCTGCCGAAACGAGATAACCCAGCTGGGGCTTTAAGAGAACAAAAGTCAAACTTTTCTTCTCAGAGAACTGAAGCCTGCTTGGTCAGATTGACCAAAAAGCACCGAGTTTGCTCAGCTTTTATTTCAAACCGGCAGTCTGATAGCACAGGGGTGGGCGGATGGTTCGTGGGGCACAGATTTATCTGTGAGTGTGGACTTTCTGCTYGTGTGCAAAGACAAATCATARAATCACAGAAGGGTTTGGGCTGGAAGGGACCTTAAAGATCCTCTTGGGGTCACCTTCCCCTGGAGTGGGGTGTTCAAAGCTCCATCCTTGAACRCTTGCAGGGACGGTGCAAACAGCACAGGGGAGCCGCAAACTTCACGGCGAGAAGGAAATAAACCCAACCCAGCACCCACGGCCCGGCTGATGGTGCGCGGGTGGCCCCGGGATGCGTTGGGGCGATGCCGGTCCCGGTATCGCTGTCGGGGTGGTCCCATTGCCGGTCCCTGTGCCGGGATTGATGCCGGGGTGGTCTTTGTGCCGGTGCCGCTGCCGGGACTGGACGGTCCCGGTCCGGTCCTGGTCCCGGTCCCAGTGTCGGGGCGGTCCCGGTGCCGGTGGCGGAGCGGTCCCGGTGCCAGTCCCGGTCGTGGTCCCAGTCCCGGTGCCGGTGTCGGGGAGGTGCCGGTGCCAGAGCCGGTCCCGGTCCCGGTGTCAGAGCGGTGCCGGTCCTGGTGGCGGTGCCGGTATAGGGGTGATCCCGATGCCGGTCCCGGTGCCGGTCCCGAGGCCATTCCCGGTCCCGGTCCCGGT